ATATGATGCCTCCAGGTTTTTAAAATAATTTTTATGGATGTCTTTGTCTATTTGGGGTCTGCTATGGTTCCAGATTAATTTTATATTTTTTTTATTTTTGTGAATAATGCCATTGACTTTTTTTTTGTGGTACGCGGGCCTCTCACTGCTGTGGCCTCTCCCATCGCGGAGCACAGGCTCCAGACGCGCAGGCTCAGCAGCCATGGCTCACGGGCCCAGCCGCTCCGCGGCATGTGGGATCTTCCCGGACCGGGGCACGAATCCGCGTCCCCTGCATCGGCAGGCGGACTCTCAACCACTGCGCCACCAGGGAAGCCCCCCATTGACATTTTGATAGGGGTTGCATTGAATCTATAGATGGCTTTGTGTAGTAGGGACGTTATAACAATAAAAATTTTGCCAGTGTATCTTTCTGTTTGTTTATGACTTTTTCAATTTCTTTTGTCAAAGCTTCGAGTGGACTTTTCACCTCCTTGGTTAAATTTATTCCTAAACATTTTGATATTTTTGATGCTATTGTAAATGGGACAGTTTTTTTCTTTTTTAGATAATTTTTTCCTAGTGTAGAGAAATACAGCTGAGTTTTTTGTATGTTTATTCTGTACCTTGTTTATTAAATTTATTAGTTCTAAATATTTTTGGCAGGGGAGTCTTTAGGATTTTTTACACATACTGTGTCATCTGCAAAAGACAATTTTAGTTCTTGTCATTTAATTTGGATGCCTATTGTTTCTTGTTCTTTCCTAATTTCTCTAGCCAGAACTACCAATAGATTGTTGAAAGGAGGGGTGAGAGTGGGATCCTTGTCTCATTGCTGATTCCAAAGGAGAAGACTTCAAACTTTCTCTGTTGAGTATGATGTTAAAAGTGGGTTTGTCATATATGGCCTTTATTATTTGTGGAATAGTCCTTCTATGTGCATTTGTTGAGAGTTTTTATCATGAAAGAATTTTTTTATTTTTAATTTTTTAAATTTAATTTTTATTTTATTTTATTTTGGGCTATAGTTGATTTACAATGTTGTCTTAGTTTCAGGCTTTCAGCAAAGTGATTCATTTATACATATACATATATCTATTCTTTTTCAGATTCTTTTCACTTATAGGTTATTACAGAATATTGAATAGACTTCCCTGTGTGATACAGTAGGTCCTTGTTTATTATCTATTTGATATATAGTAGTGTGTTTATGTTAATCCCAAGCTCCTAATTAATCCCTCCCCCAATCTTTCCCCTTTGGTAACCATAAGTTTGCTTTCTATGTCTGTGAGTCTATTTCTGTTTTGTAAACATGTTCATTTGTGTCATCTTTTTAGATTTCACATATAAGTGATATCAGATGATATTTGCCTTTGTGTCACTTACTTCACTTCACTTACTTCTCTGTCTGACTTACTTCACTCATTACTTATGATAATCTCTGGGTCCATTCATGTTCCTGCAAATGGCATTATTTCATTCTTTTTTATGGCTGAGTAATATTCCATTGTGTATATGAAGCACATCTTCTTTACCCATTCCTCTGTTGATGGACATTTAGTTTGCTTCCATGTCTTGACTATTGTAAGTTGTACAGCAGTGAACATTGGGGTGCATGTATCTTTTCATATTATGGTTTTTTTCCAGATATATGCCCAGGAGTGGGATTGCTGGATCATATAGTAGTTGTATTTTTAATTTTTAAAGGAATCTCCAGACTGTTCTCCATAATGGTTGTATCAATTTACATTCCCTCCAGCAGTGTAGGAGGGTCCCCATTTCTCCATACCCTTTCCAGCATTTTTAAATTTATATATTTTAATTTATTTATTTTTAGCTGTATTGGGTCTTCACTGCTTCATTGAAAGCCTTCATTGAGGGCTTCCTCTAGTTGCAGTGAGCAGGGCTACTCTTTGTTGTGGTGCACAAGCTTCTCATTGCAGTGGCTTCTCTTGTTGTGGAGCATGGGCTCTAGGCATGCGGGCTCTAGTAGTTGTGGCATGCAAGCTCAGTAGTTGTGGCTCGTGGGCTCTAGAGCACAGGCTCAGTAGTTGTGGTGCATGGGCTCAGATGCTCCACAGCATGTGGGAACTTCCCCAACCAGGGATCGAACCCATGTCCCCTGCATTGGCAGATGGATTCTACTGTGCCACCAGGGAAGTCCCCCAGCATTTACTGTTTGTAGACTTTTTGATGATGACCCTTCTGACCTGTGCACAGTGATACCTCATTGTAGTTTTGAGTTGCATTTCTCTAATATTTAGCAATGTTGAGCATCTTTTCATGTGCTTTTTGGCCATCTGTGTCTTCTTTGGAGAAATGTTTATTTAGATCTTCTGCCCATTTTTTGATTGGGTTTGTTATTTTGATATCGAGCTGCATGAGCTGTTTGTATATTTTGGAGATTAATCCCTTGCTTGTTGCTTCATTTGCAAATATTTTCTCCCATTCTGCAGGTTGTCTTTTCATTGATATTAAAATTCTAGAAAAAAATAACTAATCAAATGTGAAAGAAAGTAAATCAGTAGTAGTTGCCTGGGAGCCCAGGGAGGGATGTCAGAAGGTAGATACAGGAGTGATGGATGTTTGTTATGATGATGATGGTTCTGTGGGTTTACATGTATTAAAACTTACAAAACTGTACATTTTAAATATGTTCAGTTCATTGCATACCAACCATATAGCTCAATTAAGTTTTAATAGAAATTGACTTCACATAAAAATATGAATCTCCTTTTTGGAAAAGTAGAACTCTGGCAAGCACACATTAACTCCATCACTCTCCCTGTCTCATGGGAGGAACTCTGTCACAGTAGCAATGAAGACTGGTGAGCAATGAAAGGTGTTTCTAGAGTTATCCAAGACCTTTGCCTAAGTCATAAAAATCTCATGCCAGGACTATTCAATTTCCACTATCTTTCCTCATTTTTTTTTTTTTTTTTTTTTTTTTTACTTTTCCAGAATTGGCTTTGAGATAGACAATTTGGAGATGCTTTGGGATCCTAAAACCTTTACATTATTCAGTATGACACTGGCTGGGGCCACAGGAGGAGGAAAATAGCTCTGTATCTCCTGAGCATTTCTGCAAAAACCTTATCCTAAAAAGCTGCAATCACTGAACATTTTGTGAATGCAACTTTAGAATAGGCCCATCACCTCTTGTTTGCTAAACTCCCTATTAATTCCCTGAGTGTTTCTGTACCAAGTATTGTTCCCACCTAACGTCTGTAATCTAACACTCAGCAACACCAGCCTACCAAGTTCTGGATATTATGGCACATGGCTCTTTTCAAGCTGGACATAGAGAACATCTCTTTACCAATACTAGGAGCATTATGTGACATTGCATGTGAAATAGAGAATCAACTTATGCTGCTCCAAAAAACGCTGGTAGGTCTCATAATTCTCCTCATCTCAGAGTGATCTCTGAACCCTCCAAAAGCTCTGACATCCAGGTCACAAGATTAGTCACACAAAACCCTGTAGTCTACCCCAGGAAGCCTTGGACAACAATGCAAATTAGACCAAAACTGGAGTGAAGCATTGTCTACAACAATACTATCCTCACTGAAGCATACAAAGTTCCCAAAGAGGTGACTTAGAGCTAGAAAAATCCATATTGAGCATGGCATGAGACAATGTCACTGAAGAAGGTAAACCTCCATAAGCCACCAGCAGAGCCCAGATTGGGTCCCCTTGGTCAAAACTGGTTAAGTCTATGTCCTAGTCAGTTAGACATGAGAGAATTACACCCAAGTGCTCAGGCTACTCATGCTTCCCTCCATGGGATGGGAGAGTACAAAGATCTACCTGCCCTGATCACACTGAGGTGACTTCCCCTTGGTAGAGGTAAGGTGATTTCTACCATAAAAACTCACAGTGACGTTAGTCTGGCAAGGGCCCTGAGCAGGTTAGAAAGTACAGCATAGCTCCTTAAAAGCTTCGTATGAACTTAGTACTCATAGGCAATCTCCACACTAGAGCTGTTCAGGTGTATGACATTCAGCTTCAAGTTGTTGACTCCCTCACAGAGCCTATTTGGTATGATGTATTTTATTTTTATTTATTTATTTTTTTTTGCAGTACGTGGGCCCATCACTGCTGTGGCCTCTCCCTCTGCGGAGCACAGGCTCTGGACGTGCAGGTTCAGCGGCCATGGCTCACGGGCCCAGCCGCTCTGCGGCACGTGGGATCCTCCTGGACCGGGGCATGAACCCGTGTCCCCCGCATTGGCAGGTGGGCTCTCCAACCACTGCGCCACCAGGGAAGCCCGGTGTGATGTATTTTAACTAAGGAGATAGCTCATTTGCTGCTCTCCTCATCTCATTGGAATGCTTTTCTCAAGTATGAACTTTCTGGTGATGAATGTGGTTAGACTTTCAGTGGAACGCTTTCCTACATTTGATACACTCATAAAATCTATCAGGGCTGTGAACTTTCTGGTGCTCAGTTGGGGCCAACCTTTGACTGAAGACTTTTCCACATTTGCTGCATTCAAGAGGCCTTTCTCTGGTGTGAACTTTTTGGTGCTAAGTTGGGTGCTTCAGCTAAAGAATTCTCCACATTCGGTGCACTCATATGATCTTTCTCCAGTGTGAATTCTCTGGTGTTGAGTGAGGCCAAAGCTCTGGCTAAAAAGTTTCCCACATCAATGCACTTATAAGGCCTTGCTCCAGTGTGAAATCTCTGGTGCTTAATGAGAATAGAGCTTTGGCTAAAAAGTTTCCCACATTCAGTACATTCACATGGCCTTTCACCAGTGTGGATTCGCTGATGTTTAATGAGACTGGGACTTTGGTTAAAGAATTTCCCGCATTCACTGCACTCATAAGGCCCTGTGCCCATGTGAATTTGCCAGCATTTAATTAGGTTGGAGTTAGAGGTAAAGAATTTTCCACATTGAATTCATTTATAAGGCCATGATACAGTGTGAATTCTCTGATGTTCAGTAAGGCTGGAGCTTTGGCTAAAGAATTCCCACATTCATAACACCCATAAGGCCTTTCTCCAGTGTGAATTTGCTAGTGCCCAACAAGTGTGGGTTTGTTGTTAAAAGCTTTCCCACATTCACTGCACTTATATCGCCTTTCTCCAGTGGGGACTCTCCAGTGCTGGATGTGTTTATAGCTGAAGGTTATCCCACATTCACTGCGTTGATAAGGTTTTTCTCTAGTGGGGACTCTCCAGTGCTGAACGTGTTTATAGCTGAAGGTTTTCCCACATTCACTGCATTGATAAGGCTTTTCTCCAGTGGGGACTCTCTGGTGCTGAGCAAGCCTCTATTTGTGACAGTAGGCTTTCCCACATTCACTATACTTGTGCTTTTGTCCATTGTGAAAGGCCTTCACACACTCAGTGTCCTTTTGTGGTGTGACCTGGTGCTGGAGAAAGCCAAGCTACCAGGGAAATCCTTCCCAGCCTCCTGGCACATGAAAGACTTCTTGGATGCACCTACTGTGCAACTTTTCATAAAGGCTTTATCCACATCTTTTCTGAAAAGTTTCTCTGCAATGTGCTGGTACAATTTCACACCTACCCCACACAGTTTCTGGCCAGGGTTTGTTCCCAGGTCCTCACCTACATGCAAAGCACTTTTTAAGTACAGGCTACATCTCTCATAGGGATAGGCCTTCTGGGTGGACAGGTCTTCCTTTGAAATATTTATTTGTGGCACTTCTACAGAAACATTCTGCTCAGAAGGTATCTCCTTGTCCTCTACTTCATGCTAACACCCAGGCAAAAGACACAAGGGTGTGGTGGAGTGCACAGAGGAGCAAGGGGTCCACAGCTCTCTCCTCCGGGAATGGTTTTCACCAGGGCCTTGGCTGATGGTGACACATGTGTTGTGTGGAAAGGTGTCTTCAGGCCCAGGAAAATCTGATTGTCACTGAGTAGCTGGTGTTCTAGGAATATTTTAAGGATAGGTGCAGACCTCATGACACATTAAGTATAGGCCAATATTGAAGACCACAGCAGAGTAAGGATGGAGAGGACCAAGGAAGAGTGGAAGACAGAGAGGTGAAGGATAATCCTGGGTTGGAAGTCAGAGTAGAAATGACAGAAGGAGCAAATTATCAAGAATGGAGAAAAAATAGAAATGAGGAAAAATAGAAATGAGGTACACAGTCACTGGCCTTGCCACCAAAACAGTGTTAGGCACAGGACATGTTCCTGATCTGATTTGAATCCAACCATGATATCACATCCTTGCCCTGATGCCCGTCACCAGGGCCAGGCCCACTTTGAGCCCCTCTTGCTGTGCCTGGATTCATGGCCACTCTATTATGTACCCAGGGTTCTCCTCCCAGCTCCAGTTGGACAACAACATGGGACCTAAAAGATGGAAGTCCCAATGATACAACAAGTGCAAAGGTCTCCAGCATCACATAGTGGTACAGGCGTCTCAGGGTCTCATCAAGAAGCCTCCATTCCTCTTGGAAAAATTATACAGCCACATCCTCAAAGGTCACAGGGCCCAGTGCAGGCTCCATAAGTGGTTCTGCTGAACGTGGAACCTCAGGCCAGCCTAATGTTCCAAGGCACCCCACCAGTGAACAGATCCAAGTTTACCCCCACTTATTTATTTTTGTTTTTCTTTTCATTACTCTAGGAGGTGGATCCAAAAAGCTATTAATGCAATTTACACCAATGAAAGTTCTGCCAATGTTTTCCTCTAAGAGTTTTATAGTATCCAGCCTTACATTTAGGTCTTTAATCCATTTTGAGTTTATTTTTGTCTATGGTGCTAGAGAATGTTCTAGCTTCATTCTTTTACAGGTAGCTGTCCAGTTTTCCCAACACCATTTATTGAAGAGACTGTCTTTTCTCTATTGTATAGTCTTGCATTCTTTGTTGTAGATTAATTGACCGTAGTTGTGTGGGCTTATTTCTGGGCTTTCTATCCTGTTCCATTGATCTATATTTTTGTTTTGTTGCCAGTAATGGTACTGTTTTCATGACTGTAGCTTTGCAGTATAGTCTGATGTCAGGGAGCCTGATTCCTCCAGCTCCATTTTTCTTTCTCAAGATTGCTTTGGCTCTTCAGGGTCTTTTGTGTTTCCATGCAAATTTAAAAATATTTTTTTCTTGTTCTGTGAAAATGCCATTGATAATTTGATAGGGGTTGCATTGAATCTGTAAATTGCTTTGAGTAGTATAGTCATTTTGACAATATTGATTCTTCCTATCCAAGAACATGGTGTATTTTTCCATATGTTTGTATCATCTTCAATTTCTTTCATCAGCATCTTATAGTTATCAGAGCCCAGGTCTTTTGCCTCCTTAGGTAGGTTTATTCCTAGGTAGGTCTATTCTTTTCGTTGCAATGATAAATGGGGTTGTTTCCTTAAGTTATTTTTCTGATCTTTCATTGTTAGTGTATAGAAATGCAAGCTGTATATTAATTGTGTATCCTGCAACTTTACCTAATTCATTGGTGAGCCCTAGTAGTTTTCTGGTACCATCTTTAGGATTTTCTATGTATAGTACCATGTCACCTGCAAACAGTGACAGTCCTACTTCTTCATTTCCAATATGGATTCCGTTTATTTCTTTTTCTTCTCTGATTACCATGGCTAGGACTTCCAAACCTATGTTGAATAAAAGTGGTAAGAGTGGACATCCTTGTCTTGTTCCTGATCTTAGAGGAAATGCTTTCAGCTTTTCACTGTTGAGTATGATGTTAACTGTGCGTTTGTCATACATGGCCTTTATTATGTTGAGGTAGTTTCCCTCTATGCCCACTTTCTGGAGAGTTTTATCATAAATGTGTGTTGAATTTTGTCAAAAGCTTTTTCTGCATCTATTGAGATGATCATATGGTTTTTAACTTTCAATTAATTAAAGTGGTGTATCACATTTATTGATGTGCATATTTTGTACCATCCTTGCATCCCAGGGATAAATCCCACTTTATCAGGATTTGTGACGTTTCATTGTGTGACTGATTTTGGATTGCTTTTATTTTCTTGAGGATTGCCATCTATATTCATCAGGAATAATGGTCTGTGTTTTTTTCCTTCTCGTCATGTCTTTATCAGGCTTTGGAAGCAGGATAATTCTGACCTCAAAAAAAAATGAGATTGGTAATGTTTTCTCTCTTCAATATTTTGAAAAAATTTGGAAATATTGGCACTAATTCTTCTTTAAATGCTTGGTAGAATTCATCTGGAAAGCCATCTGGTTCTGGGCTTTTCTTGTTGGGAGTTTTTGAATAGTGATTCATTCTCCTTACTCAGTAATGATCTGATCATATTTTCTCTTTCATCCTGATTCAGTCTTGGTAGGTTGTAGATTTCTAGGAATTTATGCATTTCTTCTAGGTTATTTATTGGCATGTAATTTCCTATAGTATCTCTTACAATCCTTTGTATTTCTGTGGTATCATTTATAAAGTCTGATTTTTATTTCTGATTTTATTTATTTGAGTCTCTCTCTCTCTCTCTCTCGTTTAGCTAAAGTTTTGTCCATTTTGCTTATGTTTTCTTTTTTAAAAAAATAAATTTTTTTATTTTTGGCTGCATTGGGTCTTCATTGCTGCATGTGGGCTTTCTCTAGTTGTGGAGAGCAGGGACTACTCTTCATTGCAGTGCGCAGGCTTCTCTTGTTGCAGAGCATGGCTCTAGGTGCACGGGCTTCAGTAGTTGTGGTACATGGGCTCAGTAGTGGTGGCTTGCAGGCCCTAGAGCACAGGCTCAGTAGTTGTGGTGCACAGGCTTAGTTGCTCTGAGGCATGTGGGATCTTCCCGGACCAGGGCTCGAACCAATGTCCCCTACATTGGCAGGCAGATTCCTAAACACTGCTCCACCAGGGAAGTCCTCTATTTTTAAAAAATTTTATTAGTTGGTTGTGTCAGGTCTTAGTTGCAGCATGTGGGCTCTTCATTGCAGCATGCTAGCTCCGGAGTGTGTAGGCTCAGTAGCTGTGGCACATGGGCTTATTTGCCCCGTGGCTTGTGTGATCTTAGTTTCCCATCCAGGAATTGAACCCATGTCCCCTGCTTGGGAAGGCAGATTCTTAACCACTGGACCACCAGGGTTAGTACTGGTTTAATATATTTGGGTGCTCTGATGTCAGCTGCATAAAATTTACATTTGTTGAATCCTCTTGCTGAATTGACCCTTCAACATTATGTAATGACTTTCTTTGTATCATGTTACATTTTTGTGCTTAAAGTCTATTTTGTCTGCTGTAAGTATAACTATCCCTGCTCACTTTTGGTTTTCATTTTTACAGAATATATTTTTCCATTCCCTCATTTTTAACTTTCATGAAAGCTGAAGAAACCCTTTTAGGTAGAATATAGTTGTTTGTTAAAAAATTCATTCAATCATCTATGTCCTTTAATTGGAAATTTTAATCTATTTATATTTAGAGGATTTATTGATATGGAAGAACTTACTAATGCCAACCTGTCTTTTTTTTTTCCAGCTGTTTTGCAGACTTCCTGTTCCTTTCTTTGTCTCTTGATGTCTTCCTTTGTGGATTCGTGATTTCCTTTAGTGTTGCATTTGTTTTCCTTCCCTTTTTCTCTTGTCTATCTACCATGAAGCTGATAAAACATGAATGCGTTATAGATATAACAGTCTATTTTAAGCTGAGAACCATCTAACCATTCACATACTCCTTCCCCAAAACAGTTTAAGATTTGATGTCAAAATTTAAATATTTTTATATTGTTTATCCATTAACAAATTATTGTAAGTATAGTTGTTTTCAATGCTTCTGTCCTTTAACCTTTGTATGAAACAAATGTTAAACAGATCATCATATTACAGTATTGCACTGGAGTATTCCGATTTCACTATATACCTGCCTTACCAATGTGCTTTGTATTTTTATGTTTTAATGTTTCTAGTGTATTTTCATTTTAGTTTGAAGAGCTCCCTTCAGCATTTTAGGTAAAGTAGGTCTAGCAGTGATGTATTCCCTTAGATCTTCTTTGTCTGAGAGTCTTTATCTCTCCATTTCTGAAGGACAATTTTCAGGTAAACTATTTTTGGTTAACATTTTTTTTCTTTTAGTACATTGAATATATCATCCCACTGTCCCATAGCCTGCAAAGTTTCTTCTGAGATATATGTTGATAGTCTTATGGGGGCGGGGGGAGAAGTTCCACTGCATGTGATGCTTTTTTCTTGTTGTTTCTTTAAAAATTCTTTCTTTACCTTCAATTTTAGTCAGTTTTATCACAATGCATGTTGGAGAAGATCTCTCTGGATTGAATCTGACTGGAGACTTATGAGCTTCATGAACTTCAATATCCAGATCTCTCTGCAGAAATGGAAAGTTCTCAGCCATTATTATATTAAATATACTTTCCTCCCATTTCTTACTCTCATCCATCTGGGACCACAATTATGCATAGATTATTTCTCATAATGGCTTCCTGTAGTTCACATAGGCTTTCTTCACTTTTTTTGTTCTTTCTGTAAACTAATATAGTATATCATACAAAATGTTCAATGTGTACTTGAATAAAAGTGTGTATTCTGTGTTTTCAGGATAGTTTGCTCTGTATATGTCTTTTAGGTCTAATTGAAAGTGCTGTTCAAGTTTTCCATTTCTTATTGATCCTCTCTCTGGTTGTTCTCCATATTGTTGAATATGGGGTATTGAAATCTTTTGCTCTAATTGTGAAAATGTCTATTTCTTCCCTCAATTTTGTCAGTGCTTGCCTTGCATAGTTTAGAGCTGAGATTTGGCATGTACATATTTATAATTAT